TGAAATATTGCATTTGAAATATTTCATTCACATTGCTGCTAGTGTGAAACCCCTATTATATAAATTTGAAATTTACAGATGAAAAAATCATTCATTTAAAAACAGAAAAAAAAGAATATAAAAATAGACAAGTTCCAGTTGTGGAACCCTTCGAGCAACAAAAACAAGAAAAAATTACCGAAAAACTGACTGACTGACATTTCAGCATTTTAATATACATAGTTTATCATCAGATGATGATCGTAGTGGTGATGATGGCAGTGGGGTAGGTAAAGGTAAATTTCTTTGAAAAGAAAAACATTCCTCAACAACATCATCATTCAGCATCTAAACCATTATTATCATCATCAGTGAAGATGAAACAATGATAAAATTATTATCTGACTACCACCAATCATCATCATCAATCATAATCAATCAAATAAACAAACAAAACAAACCAAACACCTAATAGTGACAATAAGTACAGTGTGACTGAAAGAATTATTGAATGTTAAGATTATTACATTATGGTTTTCAACCAAAGAATTTTTTTTTTGGGGGAAACCACCGCCAAAATTATCATTATCAATCGATGAATAATGAAAACTTTGGTGCAATGGGCGGAGGAGAATGATGAAGAAGAAATGAAATTCACTGGAAAAAAGCGTCATAGAATACGATGCTTAAGTTTGATTGAAAATTCATGAATGATGAACAACAACAACAACAACAACGAAGAGACAAAAAAAAACAATAAAAAAAACTGAATTTCTTTAAAAAACAAGAATTTAAATTAAGATTTTCAAACAAAAAAAAACTTTCCCTCTTCTTCGGATCGAATCTAAATAAATCGCTTTGTTGTTGTTGTTTCTGGGCTGCTATCATTAAAGTGGAAAATTGAGTTTTTTTTCCTTATTATTCGGTCGGTTAGGTTAGGTTGGTCGATATATTACCTTTGATGTTGTTTTTTTTAATATATAACTCATTTGATTACTCAAGAGACTAGTTGTTTTAGTTGGTCAAACATTATGGAGAAAAAAAGAAAACCTTGAATGAATGAATGAATGAAAATGTTACACAACAACAACAGTGATGACCCAAAGTAGTAGTGTAATTCTCAATTTTCAATTACAGTCAATTTTTTTTCAGAGGAAAAATTTTCAATTTTTCAAAATTTTAAAAATAGAATACATTGGAAATTGTTTCCGGATAAAAAGAAAAAACGAAAAACTTTTTTGTTTTTTCTCAAAAAAAAAAAAATTCTTTTTAAAAATTTCAAAATCAAATTTGAAATTCATAGCTTTTTTGTTGTTGTTGTTGTTGGGAAATTGAATTTAAAAAAAAACAAACAAAAAAGTTTAAAAAAAACTGAAAGCCAGACACCCAGAAAGCTAGCTAAAAATCGATTCATTCATTCATTCATTCAAATGAAAAACACCTATAGAAACAAAGTTGTTGGATGATTAATTGGAAAACCTGGTTTAGGGTGTCCTCAACCATATATCTACAATATGAAAATGTTGTTGGCGGTTAATGAAATATGATTATAATCATCATAATAATTATTAATTAGATGATCATTATCAACCAGGGACCAATATACCTGTATAATAGTTTTTTACATTCGATTTGAGTTAGTTGAACAGAATTGACAGTTGAATAACCAGAAATCACAGGTAGAAAATTAGGTTCTAAGATTCAAATATGTGTGTGATTTTTTTTTTGTTTCAGCAGAAACAAAACAAAAAAAAATCGATTTCAAATGCTATCATTGTCATGTTTTTTGTTCCCGACCAACTTCAACTTTTTGGATTCTACAAATGAAACATTTTGAGTATTTTTGTCTACATTTCATCATCATGATCATTACCTTTGTATTTGTTATTTACCATGCTATAATACAGTAAGTAAGTACTCTATGTTTTTCTTCTTCTTTCTTTGTTGTTTGAATATAATGTTTTTTTTCACCATTTCAATTGAACATTATTATTATTATTGACTATTCCATAAATGATCATAATAAATTCTTTTATACAAATAGTGTATTATTCCAAAGTGTATCAGGAATAAAATATATGCAGATGAAAGAAAACAACAACAATGTTTAGATGCATTCTCCAAAAAAAAGTAAATATCCATTTTATAAACATCCAAAAGGAATATTACAAACACAAAGGTATTGAAAAAAAAACTCTTCTATTTTTCAAAGCGTTTCAAGCATCAATCAAATTGAGTTACGATTACAAAGTATACTACAACTAATAGAACAACAGATTGGCAAAACATTGTAATGATTTACTCACTGATAAGTCTATATTTGGGAATATTTTTTATTTTTTTTCAAACATACAGGAATAAATGTCAACACACACAAACTAATCCTTAAGCGTGTTTTTTTTTCTTGGTTAAAAAAAAAACAAAATGAAAGTCATTCACACACACACAAAAAAATCAAACACATCAATCAAATATTTGATAACATTTTTTATTTGACATATATTTATTTATAGTGGCAAGAAGAAACAGCAAAACGAAATTCATTCAAAAAATGAAAGAATAGTTGTTGTATAGCATAGGACTACTATGGTAATATATGTAAAAGATTACGCATCATATGATGATGATGATACGACAGGTGATGTGTGTTTCTCCTATTTCTCAAACAAGCAAACATACGATGATGATTACGTAATAATATTTTACTGACTTTATTCATGTGTTTAGGCATGAATCAATGTCAAGTCATGTCCCTTTTCATANAAAAAAAAAAAATTCTTTTTAAAAATTTCAAAATCAAATTTGAAATTCATAGCTTTTTTGTTGTTGTTGTTGTTGGGAAATTGAATTTAAAAAAAAACAAACAAAAAAGTTTAAAAAAAACTGAAAGCCAGACACCCAGAAAGCTAGCTAAAAATCGATTCATTCAAATGAAAAACACCTATAGATGCAAAGTTAGATGATTAATTTGGAAAACCTGGTTTAAGGTGTCCTCAACCATACATCTACATGTATATCTACAATATGAAAATGTTGTTGGTGGTTAATGAAATATGATTATAATCATCATCATAATAATTATTAATTAGATGATCATTATCAACCAGGGACCAATATACATAAATACCTGTATAATAGTTTAGTTTGATTTGAGTTAGTTAAACAGAATTTACAGTTGAATAACCAGAAATGAAAAAAATTAGTCTGGAAATCACAGGTAGAAAATGAGATTCAAATATGTGTGTGATTTTTTTTGTTTTAGCAGAAACAAACAAAAAAAATCGATTTCAAATGCTATCATTGTCATGTTTTGTTCCCAACCAACTTTAACTTTTTGGATTCTACAAATGAAAACATTTCATTGTGGAATATTATGAACACATTTTTTTTTTGTCTACATTTTATCATCATGATCATTACCTTTGTATTTGTTATTTACCATGCTATAATACATACATAGTAAGTACTCTATGTTTTTCTTCTTCTTCTTTCTTTGTTGTTTGAATATAATGTTTTTTTTTTTCTGTTCACCATTTCAATTGAACATTATTATTATTATTGGCTATACATAAATGATCATAATAAATTTTTAGGGTAACAAATTCTTTTATACAAATAGAACCAAAATGCATTCTCCAAAAAATGAAGTAAATATCCATTTTTATAAACATCCAAGGAATATTTTACAAACACAAAGGTATTATACTGAAGAAACAAAAAAAATTTCATCTCCCTTTTTTCTTCCCAAACAAAATCAATGGTTTCAAACATCAATCAAATTGAGTTTGAAATTTTGGATAGTTAAGAATACACAGAGTATACTACAACTACAAATAGAACAATAACGGAAAAAAAAGATTGGGCAAAATCTAAAGATTGGCTAAAAAACATTGTAATGATTTACTCACTGATAAGTCTATATTTGGGAATATTTTTAAAAAAAAACATACAGGAATAATGTCAACACACACACACAAACTAATCCTTAAGCTTGTTTATGATTTTTTCTTGGTTAACAAAAACAAAATGAAAGTCATTCACACACAAAAAAATCAAACACATCAATCAAATATTTGATAACATTTTTTTATTTGACATATATTTATTTATAGTGGCAAGAAAAACAAAATTCATTCAAAAAATGAAAGAATTGTTGTTGTATAGCATAGGACTACTATGGTAATATATGTAAAAAGATTACGCATCATATGATGATGATACGACAGGTGATGTGTGTTTCTCCTATTTCTCAAGCAAACAAACATGATGATTACGTAATAATATTTTACTGACTTTATTCATGTGTTTAGGCATGAATCAATGTCAAGTCATGTCCCTTTTCATATGCTCATGCTTATAAAAGTGAAAATAAGGATTAACAACAACAACAAAATACACCTGATCAATTGATTAGATCCGTGTAGGTGATTGCAAGTTGATATTTCTTTTTCAGTTTTGACCAAAAAAAAACTACTGTGATTTCTTCGTATGGAAAAACAAAATAATTCAGCTGCCGGCACACACACATCGATTGATCGATCAATCAATCGATTGATTGATTGAAGGTCATTGGCCATATAAAAATAGAAGTTTTGCTGTTTTGTTTTTTGTGGTGGTGGTGGTGGTTTAGATCTTGACACCTACACATCATACAATGGACATCCACGGAATTTGAAACAAAAAACCGATCCTATTTTTTTTAAAAAAATTTGACCAGCCAATAAGACACACACACGCACACATTTGAAACTTTACCACATAAATATTTCATAAACAAAACACATCAGACAAAACAAAAACACGCTAAACACAAAAAAGTATTAACACCTTATTACTGAAAAAAAAAATTCTGAGTCAACGAACCTTATGACTTTTGTATTTTTATGTTTGTTTATAAATGGCCAAAAACGAAACGAAATATTTATTCATCAAACATCAATCTTTGCACTTGTAATATGTGTGTGTGTGTGTGAGAATGAAATGAAAGTATGGCAAATTGAATTTTCAATTCATTTTCGTATTTGTTTGTTGTTTTCATTTTGACAAATACGGCCACATAATATTTCATCAGTCGATGATGATGATGATGATGATGATAGAGGGCCATTTTTGGTCAAATTACCGGGTGTTTCTCACCACACTAACCACCACCTCCACTGATGTTATCAAAAACAACAACAAATGAAAAAATGAAATAAAAGCCAAATTGGAATAAAAATTCAAAAATGAAACGAATCGAATTCACATATTACATTTAGGCAAAAAAACATTCGAAAACAAAAAATCAATGACTCAACAATATACACCACCTACGCTAACACCATTATCATGTTATGAATTTTGTATATGCTATGTTTTTTTGGAATGTTTTCAAAACATTCATATTATTAAGCAATAATAATAATCAAACTAGGCAGATGAAAGTGGAAATAGAAAACGAAAAAAAAATAGCCGACAAAAAAATAAAGTAAATGTTTTTCTTTCGAATGATTTGATTTGATTTGATATGAATGAATGAATGGATCATTTTATTCGATAAAACTTACCTTTGATGATTTGATGATTCAATAACAGGAAATTTTTGTTTTCAAAAATAAATCAAAATATGTAACAAACAAAAACAAAAAACAGATGAATAGATTAGATTAGGGTAGTTGTAATAAGAAAAAAGATTTTCACATTGATAAAATGTTTTTTCTTTTCTTTTTTTTTTTTGCTGGACGATCAAAAATCAATCAATCAATCAATCGATTGAAGAATTGAAGAATCAAGTGAAACACATGAATCGATGTTTACGTTACGGAGAATATAAAGATGATAAGATAGTGATGAACTGATTTAACTGATCCGATGTTAAATGATGAATGTCAATGTTTTGAATGAATGAATAGTGACTAGATATCTTTTTGTGATTGCTGCAAAGTTTTCTTGGACGAATGAAGAACAAGAAGAAGAGAAATTACATCGAGAATTGAACCAATTTTTTTTTTGTTTGTTGAAAAAATTTTCAAGTTGCTAATAGCCGAAAAAAAGAAAGAAAGAGAAAACAAACTGAATAAAATGAAAATGATGCCAAAAACGTAGGTGTTCAACAAACCTTTAATGATAATAATAACGATGATGATGATGATTGTCAATCAATGAATCATTGAATTTTAGTAAAGTAAAAAATGATTATAAGTCGAGGAAAAACATTAAAAAAAGAAAAGAAAGAAGGAACTCATCATCATCGTTGTTACATATATAACTGTTTCTCTTTCTTGTTTGCACATAATGGGACAAAGAAAAATGATGATGATGATTTGTGACTAGCAGTTTGTTTTATTTATTTCTCATTTAGACTGATATGATCATTATTATCATCAATATTGATATTGATAATGGCATTCTTTTTTTTTGATGTTCCATGTTGATGGATGCCCCATACATTTCTTTTTATGTTTTCGCCTCTTATATGGACATAAATACAAGTCTTACCTTGTCTTATTTGTTTGTTTGTTTGTTGTTGCCCATAGAGATACATGTTAAGATTGGACCAAACATCTACATTCAATGTTTGTTTTCTTAATCATCATTTGATTTTTTGTTTTGTTTATGAAATGCATGTAAACAAACAGAACAAAAAAAAACATTGTGCATTTTTGACTCGTTGCTCTCATCATCATAATTTTCATTCCAGTATGCTGCAATAGCGATTGTATCCACACCATAACAGGCAATAGTCACAATCAAATGAAAACAATGAAAATTTACCGTTATGAAATGTTGGCAAAGCATAGGATACTGATAGCTATCCTGAAACATACGACCACTATACACAATACCACTATTCCTGAACGCACATACATTATGACTGTACCAACTTATATAATAATAAATGTAAATTACATAATCGATTAAATCGATTATTTCGGTCATCACTTTGTTTTTGTTGACATGGCTTTATTTCCGTTTTAAATGATTTTTTTTTCAAAAAAAAAAAAAAATTAATTCATTTTCCTTGGAAAAAAAACACGAATTCGAAAGAAAAAAAATTTGAATTTAAATTGAAAAAAATTATTATTCAAATTCAAATTCATCATATCATATCAATCAATATTTTTTTTCGTCTGTTTTGTTTACTGAGCTAAGGATTTATGTAAATTTGAATTGAAAATTCGGGATTTGAAAGGAATTTTGGTTAGAAAATTTTCGAATTTTTGTAACCAAAAGAAAATCAACAAAAAAAAGGATAACAAAGCTTGTTTCCCAACAACAAACATCAACAAATTATTTTCTGTTCGAAAAATCGAATATTGTGACCAACCGACCAACATAATAACTGACTGAATCGCATTCGGGATAAAAACCCAAAAAAGTTGAAAAAACCAAGACAAAAAATTAATCTTCATCATCATCATTTTTTCTGAAAATGGAACGAAAAAAATCTCGATCAAAATTGGTTAAAGATCAACAATTATTTGATTTACCACCAGAACCACCACCACCACCACCATCGCCACCACCACCACCAATACAAAATAGTTCATTCAATAATACACATCTATCATCGATAATCGGTGAAGATTTTTTTATACATCGTTATATTTGTTCAATTTATGTTTTAATTTCTGTACAATGTTCATTGACAATGATTTGTATTTTGTTGGCCGAACGATTCAGGTAAAAAAAAACATTGAAGTTTTCTTTTTTTTGCTTTTTTTAACTTTTTCAAACAAAACGATTTTTAAAATCTCTCTGGATTCTGTTTGAAATGTTTTTCGTTTTTTTAAAAAACAAAATTATCAGATAACCAATGTACCATATAATCTTTAGTTAGGCAACAAAATTCCGGTCCAATTCAGTGTAACAATCAGGTCTGGCTGTTTGTTTGTTGTGTGTCTTTGTGTCTGCTGTGTGTGTATTTATGTGTGTTGTTATTTAATTGATGATCCATGTTCGATGATGATGATAACAATTTATTCTTGTTATTTTTTTAACGATTTTTTTTAAAAAAGGAAAATAATGGTAGTGCATTGAAAAGAGATACGATCAATGTTTTTTTATCGTGTTAAGCCTGTCCTCACAGGAAGCCCTCTATTTCAACAAATTCTTGTCGTCATTGTTGATTTAGATTTTTATGATTATCGAATTTTCTGTTTGGTTTGGTTTGGTTTTTCGGTTGTCTAACGAAACAAACCAAACAACAACAATTTAGGTCCACTAATGTCAACTAAATTAAATGGTTTTTAAATTTTTTCCTGTTTTTTTTCTTTTTCTTTTTCTTTTTACTTTTACACATTTGATCTGTTCGCAAAATACAACCGAAAAAACCCGAAAAATACATCCGAAAACACAACCGAAAAGTCCGGAAATTTGGCAAAAACAATCAATACATTTAACGATTGTATTTGGTTTGTTGACATTATTTTTATTTATCTATATTAGTTGTCGTCCATTATTGGATAAAAATAACAATAACAACAACAACAATCAAAATGACAATCAACAGCAACAAATTTTTCAAAAAATTAAAAATTCATTTTATTGGTTCGATGCTATTTTATTGATAATTTTTGTAAGTAAAAATTTTCTTCAAAATCAATCAATCAAAAATCGATAATCGATAAATCATTTCTAATCAAATATTCTCTCTCTCTCTCTCTCTCTCTCTCTCTCATTTGACAGACATTTTTCCAAACCATCCTGCTAACATCAATCAGTTTTATTCATATAAATATATTCGCAAATTATGGCCATAATATTATTAAACCATTGTTAATATTAATGTTTTGTTGGAGTACAATAACATCATTATTTCGTTGTTGGTATCATTATAATCAATTTGCAATGAATTCATTTGGTAAGGTAAATGATAATCATAATTTTTTTTTCTCAAAAAGCAAAATGCTTTGAAAACATCCATTACAAATTTGAAGATACACTGAAAAAATGTAATGAAATGAAGATGGACGAGAATTGTATTCTCGTATCTCGGTCCATTTCATTTTTGTTTCAGAGAGATACAGGCTCCCCAAACACACTTATAAATTATTTATATTTTTTACTTTCAGAATTTCTTTTTCTAGTTTTCTAGTTCTTCCATATTTCTATAGTGATTTTTTTTTGTGCTGATTCAATCATTATTGGATTGGCCGATCATGATTGTCGCACAAGTATCTCTTCACAATATCCGATTGTTTTCTTGCTTGATGATTCTACTTTTCAATTGATTCAATTCATACACAATACAATACACACGCAAACAGAAAAGCAAACATGAAAAACACAATACATATCGATTCGGATAGATCAGATAGTTCATCAGATAGATTGATAAAGTGTTAAACACTTTATTAATTAATCTTTATTTTCTCTCAAATTAATAATAATATCTTTACCAGGAAGAAGAACATCAAGAAAAATCGATGATTCAGCACATTTTTCAACAGAAAAAAATTACCTAATTTAATTTTTCATTTTTTCAATTTTTCCTTTTCGAAATAGTTTTTCAGTCTAGAACCAAATAACCTATCCAATGGTATACGACAAACATTTTTTATTGAAATGATTATTACATCAATATTAATGTTTTCAAATGATTATCAAGATAATAATAATGATCATAATATTAAACATATTTATTTAGCTATACAATTAGCATTTAATATAACAATTTTTATGATTTTGGTAAGTTTCTTTAATGATGATTTTGATGATGATAATAATCTTGGTTTTTCGTTGATTTTTTTCTTGCCCAAACAAACGAATAAAGTATTTTGCATATGGAACAAGATTATTTTTAAATGAATCTTATCATCAACAACATGGTGGTTATCAAGTGAATAAAATTCTAATCGGTTTATTATGGATTTATACATATCCATTTAGATTTTTCTATCAATCATTACGTACAAAGATTTATGAATGGAAAAAATGAAATGAAAAAAGATTGATGATGAAAACAAGCAAATATTTAACCCTCTAGTACACTGTTACTACTAGAAAACTTTTTTTTTGAATTACCAAAATTTCAAATAAATTTAAACATCCCGGTCTTAATACACCAACCCGGTATTTGAATTTGACAATTTAATTAATATATCCATCCTATGCGCGTTTGTTGCTGTGTTATCGATGGATAATAAGATGAATTGAAACCGTATTGATGAATTTATGTCAAGAATTTCGTTCTTTTATATAAATTCTTAAATTCCTAAATTCCTAATTTCCTAATTTATTCTTTAATTTTAACACTGTTAACACACACACACACACACAGAGTTTATCCTGTTTTTTTTCAACTGATATTCATTCAACCAAACCAACAAGAAAAAAAAAATTTGCAGTTCAAATCTTACCAACACTTACCATACACCAATGCACTTTGCTGTGCTGCATTTTGCTTCTCGCTAGGTTTCATTCAATCATTATTGTGACTTTGTATTTTCTATAGGAATTTCTATCTGATTAGATTATTCCATTCAATCCATTGTTTTCTAACAATATTGATGTTTCATAACTACCCAGGCCATAAGGCATCTTTTTTCTATTTTGCTCATAATGACCATGTCTTTAACTCTTTTTCTATTGTGTGTTATATGGTAACGAAATGAAAGACGATTTACGAAAAAAAACTAATGATGATTTTTTTTCATAAATATCATCATTAAATATTGAATAAAATTGTAACAAAGAAAAGTTTCTTTTGAAAAAAAATTTGGTGAGAAAAATTGCCATTGGCTGCCTATATCAATGCCTCCCTATATAGGAATAGTGTGTTAAAGATCAAACGAATAATAATAATCATTATCAATAATTGCTTAATTTAATGATTGAAAAAACAAAACAAGATTTGAAAAAATAAAAAAACATTAAAATTGAATGAAATTACATGCTAAAACCCAGCGATAATTTTAGCAAAATCTATCATTTTTGGAAATGTTTTCGGAAAATTTCTTTTTTTTTTGGAAACTTTTTTCGGGTCGTTTGTGTCCAACCCATTTTTGGACAATGTGTAAATGACAGAAACTGACTGGAATTTTGTTTCTGTTTCCAGTGTAATTGCTTACTTTCTCCTTGTGTGTTCGGATTTTTTTCGTTATAATTGATTTTGACATTGGAGAAAGCTTTCTCAGTCTTTTCTGTTTCAGTGATAAGACTAGCGTGTTAAGAGAAATTTCATTTTCATTTTCACCTAAAATTGAATTAAGATTTTTTTAAAAAAATAAAGAAAAACTTTCGAAAAACATTTTTTCATTGAATTTATTGATTTTTTTCCGGAAAAAAATTTCCGGAAATCATATCACTGAATTGAATTTCCTAACTCATCTCACTCACTTGATCATTCTACCGTGCCGATTGATTTTGTTTGATCGAATTGAATTGAATTAACTTCAATTTCAATTTTTCGACTGATTTTCCTACCCCTTTGAAAAAAGAAACGACAACACCCTGTACACATTGTTCAGCCTTCTAAAAAATCTTTACTTAAATTAATTGAAAATAATAACTTCGTTTTGATGAAATCAAAAACAAACGCCCGATAATGATTTACTGGACTGAAGAACAAATCGATTATCTTCAATTTCATTTTTACTCTCTGTCTGTGTGGGTGATTCAGTGTTAAAAATTTTCCAATTTTTTCCTCCTGTAAGTAAAATGATTACCAAAAGGAAAAAATGAAAGGAATCTTTGAAGCCAAAAAGAAAAAAAGTCTAAATTCATGATTGGTCCATTCAACCAACCAAAGAATCAACCATTCAGCCATTCAATCAGTCAGGCATAAATCTCTAACCCAAAACATGATTCGATTTGTTAGGTTTGAGGTTTTATCATCATCATCATCATATCTCTATCTTTCGTTTTTCGTTTTTTTCAAACCAAACCGAACAAGCCAAACGATCAACTCTATTGTCTAATTTTTCGTTTCTTGATAGTTTTTTCTCTCAGTTTTCTGCTGGGTTTGAACAAGTCTCAGTGATTCGGTTCATTCAACCGAACCCATCCATAATAATGGTAAAATTCGTCCGTTTATTCTGGCCATAACGCCATGACGCCATCATTTTTTTAGATTCTGGATTCCATTTTTCAAAGGCAAACGATTGATTCAACACGAAAAAAAGATTGAATTTTCTCAGTCTCGTTCAAAATATTTAATTTCAATAAAAATGCAAAACATTTTCTCCTTTTTTTTCTCTTCTATAACCCATAATGACATTTTGTTTTCTTGCAACCTTTTGCCTATTGAACTTTGTTTTATTTAAAATTGAACGAGAAAAATGTACGAAATTCGTAATGATTCTTTTTTTCGCATCATCAACATGGAGAATATCAAATGGAAAAAGAGAAAAAAACATTCAATTTTATTTTCATTCATTTTTATACATGCAACCAACGACGACGACGATGAAAATAAATTAGGCGAAAACAAACAAAAAAATACAAAAAAAAAATCAAAAAAAAATTTTGCATAAAAACATTTTTTTTCTCTATAATTTAGTATCGTTAACGTTTGAAAAATCCTGAAAACTATATGTAGGTTTTGAACGAATTAATTCAATCATTTTTAAACGATATTCACGTGGTTTTACTCTTGAATATTCTGATTTCATCATCCAATGTATTTGTATTTCTTGATCACTTGGACACCATTGACAAAATATATACCATTCATATGTTATGGATAAATATTTCCATATACCATTGAAAATCAAGGGGATATCATCACCATTATCAAATTGTTTTAACAAGACGCGTATTTGATGTAAACGTGGCATTAAATGACAATCAATCATTGTTGGTTGTTTATCGGTTATTGCATATGTTTTTCCAAATGATATTAACATTTTATCCAGTTTATTTAATGCACAAAATAATTGTTGTTTTGGAATGGATGTTGTGGATTTTTTCTGTGATGATTGTTGATGGTATTGATGATAATGCTGTTGAACATAATGATAAAATCTTCGACTAACCATATGTATTGTTGTGAATAATTTCCAATTATCAAGATTATCATCTGGATGAAAATCCAATTCTTTGGATGGATATTGTTTTTGTATATAATCAATAATATCCATATGATATTCAATTAAATGATTATGGTTATTTTGGTCAACCAATACAGGTAATTGATTACCTGTAATCATTCGATGATGATAATGACGACCATAACGTAATTCTTTAGGTAATATTTTTTGTGGATTACATAGTTTTACATCAAATGGTAATTGTTTTAATGATAAAAACATTATAATTTCAATGGAAATTGGACATGCACTTAATGATTTTTTTTGTTCATTATAAAAATTTTCATTATAAGGATTATTATTCAAATCAACCAAAGTTGCTAATGATTCACATGATACGCATGGTGTTTGTATACTAAAACCAGAAAATGAATAACTTTGTTTTACATAGATTATTAATGGTTTTACATCGTCGTCGTCGTTGAATTCAAATTTATTATTCATTTTTTGTTCACAGAATTTTTCAAAATTTCAAATGAATATATATTCGGTTGAAGGAAAAAAACCAAAAAAAGTTACAAAACCAAAAATAAACATTCGTTATCAATAATTTTCAATGTGATATTTATTTGATTTTTTTGAAGAAAAATATTGATTATTGATGATGATGATGATGATGATGACTTGCATCTTTTGATTACAATTACATGATTGTTATGACATTTTTTTCAGGTTACATTTGTTTTCTTTCTTTTGTTTTTTGTTTTTTGTTTTTTCGATTATCATCATCATTGCAGCCTTGAATTTTCATTTTTTCTTTTCTATAGAAAAAAAACCTTCGTCTGATTAATGATAATGAATTCGTTGTCAGATCGATCAATCTATTTCTTGCTGTCAAACAACAATTATTCCTTCGGTACATCAATAAAAATTGGAAATACCAAAAATAGAAACCGAAAAAAAAACGAAAAATTCATCTAATTCTATTTCATTTATATTACCTTGATTAAAGGAGGAAAAAAACAAAACAAAATATTCATACTAGCCAAAAGGGTTTTTTTGTTTTGTTTTTCGCTGTTGACAATCAAGCAAACAATAATCAATCGAATCATTCCATCATCATCATCATCATCAATCCATTCGGTCGATCATATTGATAGTGTTTGAGAAACAGAAAACACTCTCAATGTTTGTCTGTTTTCAGCATTATTCATTGTTGAACGAAAAAGATCAATTTACGCTTCAATAGAAATGAGAATTTTTTTTTTTTCGTTTATTCATTTTCTAGTGAAAATGAACGAAACGAAATTCTTTCTAATTTTGGCAATAATAAAAAAAAATTGGTGTCAAACAACAACAACAACAACATTTATTTCCATTTGTTTTTTTCTATTGTAGAATCGGAAAATTTGCAAAAAAAAAAATTTATCTATCCTTTTTACATCCCTCTCTCTCTCTCTCTTTATTCATAGAATTCTCTCTTCGGAATCGAATGTCCATTTTTCCAAACAGCAGCAGCAGAATTTGGTTAAAAATTTTTTTTTTATGGTTTTTTTCGTGATAATTCACTGTGTGTGTGTGTTTTGACAATGAAAATGAACATCATTCATTCATTCACACTAAGACAAGGGGAAAAAAACATTACATGGGGCAAAACATTTTCAAAACACCCATTGTGTGTGTTTTTTACCATAAATCATTCACAATACTTGATGATAATTTTCATTTGATCTATCCATCCTATTCTATTCCATTCTATCCTATCTATATTTTGTTGTCTACCCAAAACACATTTGGCATGACATAGAAATGAAAAAATAAATAAAATATACTGAGTGACTGTGTGTACGAGAGAATCTGATCGATATTTTGTTTCATTTCATTTTTTTTTTTTTTTTTTGTTGGTATTTAATATGTGTCCTTCGGTAGTTCCTATGTTCTCCATTTACGATATGGATGTTTGTTTTTTTTCGCTGTTTTGTTTTCATTAACACCATTGTTTCCCCTGTTTATGATTGGGCTATTTGATTATGTTTATGGCCAAAAACGATGATGGAAATTGATGAATCTCAATGTTGATGGTAAAAAGTGAATAAATACAGCGACAAATTGTGGAAAGAACAAAAAACAAAAAGTATAATATTCATTTCTCTTGAGATTTTATATTTTCAATTTTCCTTGTTGATTTGTTTGCTTGTTGATTTTTTCGTTTTTTATTTATTTCAATCATATCAATCATCACAGTCAATTTAGGTGTTTTGTCAATCAATAGCCGTAAGGAATGTTTGTTTGATCCCATCATCACTTGTATTATATACGGACATTTTTTTTATTCAAATATGAATTTTTTTTTTTTTTGGTGATTGAAACATTCATTCATTCATTCATTATGAAGATTTTAATTATCATTCAATAAAGAATTGATGATGATGAAATAATAATAATAATGATAATGATGATTTTGGTTTGATGATGAGGTTTGGTTGTGGTTTTCGTTATATTTTTCCAGTCTGTGTTTTACAAATGAAAATATAATTTGTATTTGTCTCTCTCTCTCCCTCTTCATATATTAATTTCCCAATGGTATAATAACAGTAATGTTGATGATAATTATTATTATTATTAATATTATTGTTTGGTTTTGATTCATTTCTTTCTTTTTTGTCATTACACAAAGATATTTATCATTTTTCGTTTTTGTTTTTGTTTTCATTTGTTTCCATTTTTCCCATTGAAAAATATTTCATTTCAGAGAAACGAAAAATTTGACCAAATGGACTATTGAAATATATATTGTTGATAAATGAATAATGGCTGCTGCCTGTCAATCTAGAATCGTAGAATCGTAGAAGAAAAAAATCCTTCTTTTTTTCCATTTGACATTTTTGTTTTTCTTCTTCTATCCATCATATGTTTTTTAAGGATTTTTTCGTTGTTTGAATTTTCCTAAAATTCAACCGATGAAGAACCAAAAGGAAAAAACCTATTTGTATTTGATATATAGGGCGCCATGAATATAGTGCATCAAATACATTACACAAACACACTACGCACACACACATTACATCAGAAAGTCTGGGTATTCAAGTATATATACCACTTCCTGATGTATTTTTTTATATTTGGGATCATAGCAGAAAAAAAACAACATTCAAAATGAATGAATGAATCTCTGCTTCTTTTTGGGTTCTATTATTATCATCATCCAAGCAGCCCGAAACATTCACAATGAATGAATGGAAAAATTTTTTGAAAAGCACTCAAGAACCAGCCAGCGCGATTCAACATTATCGAAAAGCCTGAGAATCATCATCAGAATTCTGTCATCAGAGAGAATATCGATATCAAACAATATTTCAAATGTAAATTACATCATCATCATTGATAAATATTTCTGTGGTGTTTCGGTGTGATTGTAAAAAAGCAAACAAACAAACAAAATGATTTGATTGATTGATTGATTGAAAATTGATGATGATTGATCGATCAAAAAAGAACCAAAGGAAAAGAGAAAAAAGATTACATCATCTATTATTTATTCATTGTCACCAATGTTTGTTTGTTTGTTTGAATGATGATGATAGCAATGTTGATTTTTGAAAAAAAAAGAAAAAGAAAAATCACGTCTACCGTTATATAGACCATTAATGACCGATTAGCACTTGTTGTTGTTTGAAATGTGTTTTAAAGTTTTTTTTAAAAGTTCAAAGTTTATAAGATTATGTGATTGCGAATTTGCGATTCATAATTTTATTAACATTTTCAATCTTGATCTCATTACTATCACCATAATCATCATTGAAAACTGAATCAAATTCCTGAATTTTTATTTTTTTGAACAGTGCAGATTCTTTGACGAATTTATTTCCGACATTTTTTTTTAAATATCCATTCTACTTTCAAAGTGTTAACAGAAAAATTGATTCAAAAGAATTTTCCCTTTCTCTCTCTCTTCCCGGATCAGAATACGGAATTCCAGCGAATTGCATCCATTTTTTCCCGTGTATTTTCCCGTGTTTGTGTGTGTGTGAAACTTGATTTAAATAATGCAAATAATAATGACGATGAAAATATAATGGAAATAATAACCAAAAAATCATAATAACGAAAGGATTTTTTTTAAAAAAAAGTCAAAATCAACATTATCAACAACAACAATAACTTCTACAATGAATAATAATTCTATACGATCATTATTATATCGACAGAATAATAGAAAATTGATGAAAATGATGAAAATGTCAACATTATTATCATCAATGGATAATGATAATAACGGTTACGATAATGATATGCAATTAATCGATTATCAAGTGTCATCAGCATCAACGCCAGCGTCACAAGCATCATCAGAATTAACATCAAAATCACCAGCATCATCAGTATCCCCAGCATCACCAACATCAACATCATCATCATCTGACTGTGATAAGTGTCATCAACATTTTTGTGATTCTTGTGTTTATTGTTTTCATAGAAAAAATCAATGTGATAATAAAAAACCAACATTAGTGTTACCAGTGTTAAAATCTCTGAATAAAAATCCTAATAGAACAGCTAGATTATTGCCTAATCATTATAATTATAATCATCGTCAAACACGTGTTATAAAAACACGTAATAATAATAATCGTTTACAATTAATACAAATTTGTTTAATATTATTATTAATAACAAGTATTACATCGGTTACATGTATGTTGGATGCATTGAAAGCATTATTTATATTGACAGGTGCATCAACCTATTTGGGTATGTTTTTATCACTTTAAGTTTGTTTTTTGTTTGAAATTCAAAATTTTTTTCAATTTTCTTTGAACAAATTTGAACCAAATTCTCCAATCATCAGAACAAGTTGATAGATTTATCGATCTGTCCAGCATAAATAAATAAATTTATGAAGAAAAAAAAATCTTCTTCTTCCTTTTTTTAAAACCAACTTTAACCAGGATTTTCCCCGATTCAAATCGATTATTATGCTTTGCGCCATATGATCTACCAAAAAAAAAACGAAGAAGAAAAACAAATATGGAAAAATATTAGCTTTTTTTTCTTCCTGGTAGAAATGATATTTGTTATTCCAATAATATTCCAATGATATGTGTTTCGTTTCTGTCTATCTATATCTATCTTCACAAACAAACAACCAAACAAACACATATTTCAATTCCGATAATCAGTATTGAAATTGAGAAGAAGAAGAGAAGAAAAATTTGAAATCTAAACACATATTGCCCATAACTAGAAACGAACGAAAACGTGTTTCGAATTTATTATTATCATATCACCGTTTTCATTCTGAATATATGTGTTTGATGAATAATAAAATCATTTTTTTTTTCCTCCAAGATAGATAGATTTGATCCATGATCATGATGATGATGATGATGATGGCATCTATTTAGCAGACCATCAAATGTCCAATTCATTCCTTCATTTTATATGATAATATTTTGCTAGATTGCAATGAAGAAGAAGAAAAAGTGAGCAAAGAAGCAAAGAATATATATAATTATGTGTTTGAATGGATTATGGATCATCAATAAAACGTTGTTTGTTGTCGATGATGACCAATAATGATTTTTTATTGACAACCCTCTGAATGAACGAAATGAAATTTTTTGGATATGATAAACGAAAAAACAAACAGCAACATTTATTGATGCATGTATGGGTTTTTTTCCCTGGGAAGAAAAAAAATATTGTTCATTCATTCATTCATTCGGTTATTAGCTTTATCATCATAATCATAATAATCATAATCATCATTATTCTGTCCATTTCCTATCTTCTGTTTATTATATTTGATTATATTTGGCGCCAAATTGGTATTTGTCTTTTTTCTTCGTTGGTTGGTTGGTTGGTTGGTTGGTCCATGTGTTTGCGTGGCTGCCAATTAAAGGCACCAGAGAAAAAAAAACAAAAACAAAAAAAAAACCCATTAACAATAAACACAACATCAGTGTCGATTGATCTATATAACCAAAAAAAAAATACAGAAAAAAAACCGTTTTGATAATGATTATTATTCGTATATTTATTTTCACGTATTTTTTTGAGGTTATATTCTCTCTCTGTCTCTCTCTCTGCTTGATATATCCTATCCTATTGTTACGTAATGATATTTTAGGATTTACATTTAATGACCACACACACATATTATCATCATCAACACACCAAAACATTCTTTCATTCGTTTATTTTGATTTCAGGATGGACAATCATGTATATTTGTTGCTATATGTCCATCATCATCATCATCATTAACCGGATATTCTTTTGGCTATTTTTAATAATCATTATTATTTGTTGTTGCTGTCATTCATTCATTCTGTGTGTTTGTTTGTTTGTCTGTATCTGGTGATTTGATTCAATTTTCTATTTCCGGATAATATTTATATTGAAACAAAAACAAATCTGTCTATTTGTGTATCATTAATATGAATTTTTCTTCATTAGTAATTATCATTTGAGACATATATATTGTCCAATATATATTGGTCCATTTGGTAATCAGAATTTTGTTTGTTTGTTGTTTTGCATGTTAAAATATCGTTTTTCAAATGAAAAGATTTTCTGTTGTTGTTAGTTAGTTTTAAATGAATTTGTTTTTGGATTAGATTAATGAACAAAATGGATTCATTTAGGGATCAATTGGATCAAATTCTGATTTCTCTCTCTCTCTCTCTCTCTCTCTCTCTCTCTCTCTCTCTCTCTCTNNNNTTTTGGATTAGATTAATGAACAAAATGGATTCATTTAGGGATCAATTGGATCAAAATTGTCTGTTTTCTCTCTCTCTCTCTCTCTCTCTCTCTCTCTCTCTCTCTCTAATCGCTTGAAAAAATCGAGATTTTTCTTTCTTTTTGTTTTTGACTTTGACTTTTTTCTTCATCATCATCATCATTTTTAGCCAGACTAAATTCATTGACTAAAGTTATTTGTAAAATGATAAATCGAAATTCTTACAATGTTCAATGTTCTTACATTAGTTATACAAAGAGAGATTATACAGATAGATTTTTTTTTCTTTCACTAACGACGAGACTATCTTCAAACGATCAACATTTGTTTGTTTTATCTGAAAAATTTTTTTTTCTGGGAAATATTTTTCAGTTGCCCGGTTCTTTCAATTCGTTCTGTTTGTTTGTTTGTTCATGCGATTATCATCATCATCATCATCAATGATAATAATCCTAAAAACAAATCTATATCCTTGCCTTTTCGATGTAATGGAACAAAGAATCCATTTCTCTATTCTTTGATTGATTTTTTCCACTTGTTTGACTTTTTCTTGGTTTTGCTTCACGATTCTGGATTCTGGATTCTGTATTCTGGATTCTCTCTCTCGCTTTGTTTATTCAATCCCGAAAAAAATGATCCTAATTAATTAGGGCTAGAATTTTTTGCTTCATCGATTATGTCTAGTTTCGGAATAGTAAATCTGTGTTTTCTGTGTTGGGGGTAACTTTGTATATTTTTCGAAACAAAAAAAAGGGGGGAATAGAGAAAATCATGTACCAACATTGATAGTTTGTACACGAATCTCTTCATCAAACAAACATTGATGAACAGTGAAGGCATTTTTTGATCTTTGGTTGATAGCCAACCAGAGAATCTATTAACGAATTGAATATTTTTTTTAAAAAAATTTTGCAAACAAAAACAAAAACCAATGGCTTTTCCCCCCTGTAAATATTCAACGACGTTGTTTACAATGATAATGGCGTCGGTAATCATGATGCCATCAAGATTATAGTTTCCGAAAAAGATTTTCTGCATTTTGCATTTTTTCACTCCATTTTTTTCCCTTCATTCATAAATATGGATGATATTTTCTTTGTTTTCGGTGATTTTAAATAATGATTTTGGTTTTTTTTTATTCGGGAAAAAGGGTTTTTTATTTATTTTTCGCAACCAACAAAAAAAAAATCTCAATTTTTTCCACTTTATTTTCATTTGGATTTTCTTTTTCGTTTTCTTTTCTTTTCGTTCTTTTTTGCGTTCGGAAAGAAAAATCCAAATTTGCCAAAAAGGCCAATCAAACAAACATTCATTTCATTTTCGGTTTTTATTGTTGGCTGTTTGATTTCGGTTTTTCCCAGAAAGAAAGAAAGAAAAAAGATAAATTAATGTAATTTACGAAAAAACGAAAATTTTCCTGTTGTTGTTTTTGATAGAAACAAACGAAAAAAAAACAGGAAGAAAAAGCTTCCATATGTGTAACTTTATCTCAATTTTCAAATCATTTTCACCGATTCTGGTTGATCGTTTCGGGTATCTTCTGTATCAATACGGCTGAAAACGAAACGAAAAAAGATTCTTTCAAATTGATCACATTCAAATATTGACTACATTTTATTCTGTTTGAAAATTCTGTTGTTGTTGTTGTTGTTGTTTATAAGGGATTTATTTCCAAAAATGCATTTCCACATTGTTTATCTCTCTCTGTTGATGTTTGTTATTTCAACACATAACACACTACAGTAGATATAGTTAGTTACTATTTTATCTTAATATTAATCATTTTGAATGCAAAATAGTTTCTTTTTTGTATTCTTCATTTGTTTAGTTAACACTGAACACACATGCTCATCATCAAGTTCCCAGCAAAAAAATATGATTTGAAATTAAATGAATGAAAATTACTGAATTACTGATGATGACTGAATACTGGTTAGTAGTGTATATCCCATGAAAGCAAAAAGAAAAAAAAGAAAAAAATTCCTGGATAATTCAAGTTGATGATGATAATAACGCCAGAAAATGAATGAGATTTTGATCAATTTTTTTTTTGGCACATTTTGAATTCATTTTTTTCATTCACTAATGGTGTATGTGTCATCATCTATCATTTAAACAATCGACTCAAGTTGAGTAGAGAATGAATGAGCGAATGTGAAGAAAAACAAATTTGCAACACAAAGAGAAATTTTGTGTTCACTTTTTTTGTTTGTTGCAAATTCAAATTCATAACACCAGTGACGATGACGACAACAACAAATCTTTTTTTCCTCGAAAAAAACATTGTGGCAAGAATATTCTGCATGAATTTGGCTAGAATAATATTCCTCATTGATATTGTCCAACGCCAACGCGAACAGCAGAATTTCGATTGAATTGATTTGACTGAACTGGATGAATTCTCTCTCTCTCTCTCTCTCTCTCTCTCTCTCTCTGCTTAGCTTTTAAATCTTTAAGATTAAATTCAGGCTAAAAATAGTCTGATAAGAACGAATGAACAAAACTCAAAGAAAATCGCATAGAAACGAACGAAAATTGAACAACAACCAAAAAAAGAAACGAGTCAGCATCCAAAAAAAACCGATAGTAAAGATTGAATATTTAGTGAAACCTTATGAATAATGTTAACTTTTTTTTTTGTTTTTGTTTTTCCTGTTGTTTTTGTTATTATAATATGAAATGAAAAGAATGAACATTTTGGAATAATAATGAGTGTCGTTTGAATTACAGAGAATATCAAGAGAGAATAATAAGAACCAAGGCGACATTATCGATGATGATGATGATGATGAGAAATGTTTGTGATTGAAAGAGCAAAAGAAAAGAATAAATCCTATGGTAACATAGCAAAGAAAAAAAGAAAAAAACCTAATAAGTTTCTTATCAAAATCTTATATATTAATAATAATAAAGTAATTGTTATTGGGTAACAGCAGCCAGCCATTCAGTCTCAGTCAGTTGGTTAGTTACTGGAAAAGAAAAATCCATCAAAACCTGTGTATAAAAAAAG